GAGAGTGACTGGCCCAAGGTCACCCAGCTGGCTTCGTGCCTAAGGCAGGACTAGAACTCACCGTCTCCTGGTTTCTAACCTGGCGCCTTAACCTCTACACCAAACTGGCTTTCTTTTTTAGGTTCTCTACTATTCAGTAGTTTCATTAAAGTCTTAGATGAAGGTGGAAAAACTACTCATCAGATTTGCACATGACACAAAATTAACAATCCCTAGAAGACAGAAGTAAAATTCAAAAATTCAAAAAATTCAAGGTTAGAGCAATGGGCTGAACGTAACAGAATGAAATTTAACTGAAACAAATGCAAAGTTTTCACTTAGGAAACAAAATCAAATGCGCTGATTTAGGGTACCTGTCTTGGTATGGGTACATGCCAAAAGATTTTAGAATAGTAGTTGACTACAAACTGAATGTGAAGCAGTAGTGTGATATGACTGCAAAAATGCGAAATAAGATTTTAAGCTGCATCAATAAAAGACTACCATAATTTCCAAGATATCAAGCAATTCTCAGGCCAAACAAAACCATTATGGGAAGTGTCTCCAAATGTCAAGGCTGGAAAAAGAATGGCCAGAAGTCCATAGACTTGAAAAGGCAGGAAGAAAAGTCCTGAACATTAAGCCATGGAGAAGAAACAGAACTTGATTTTAATGTTCTGCAGCAGACAGGTCTTTTGTGCAATAAAAAGTTTCATGCAATAAAGTAACATACCCAGCTGTGTCATATCTGCTGAAAGCAGGCTCCAGAATATGGGGATAGGCATCTGAAGTGTCATGATTTATTGCCAGGCCTGGTGTCAAGTCTAAGAAATCAAGCAGCTACAAATCAACATATATGATAACTACATAGTAACACTGATAAAAATGTGGTGCCATGATGCAGTCTTTTTTTCTTCTTTCTGTCATATTTAACATTTTAATTTGGAGATCTTACGGGTCACGTATATTCAAGGTGTTAACAAATAAGGCCACAGCAGATGCAGACCTCAGATCTAGATGATGGTATTGCAATTCTATATTATCTTCCTATTTTTTTCCAGATCAATTTTGTGCAGAGTTTTGTTTGAAAACAAAACTATAGCATACTATTTTGTTCCTTTCTTTTTAAGTAGCTAACGAATTTCTTCTTATTCACTTGCTAGAGCGTTTCCTAATTACTCTTAATTAATCAGTTCCAATTCCCACTGAGAATCAGTGGATGGTGCGAGAATAGGAGAGTATGTTTTATTACTAGCTAGTTTTACAATCAAGAAAAAAATAACCTATACGTAAAATAGAATTCTTATGAATGGACCATGCGCAGTAGCAGTGTTGCCCCCCCCCCCCCCAAGGGAGATCAGATGGAACAAAATTCCTTTCTGGAGAGAGCTTTGTTGTACACATTAGAGTTCCCAAGAGAAATAATGGCATATTTCACATGAACATTCTCATCATAAACATATCTTCTCTGAATTGAGTATGAAAAGTGTCATTTCCTCGATAGGGAATCAATCCACAAATACCTCTGGTGCCGTCTAAGCTTCTCTAGTTTAATAAGATGTGGCTTTATCAATAAAAGGATTCAAAAAGATATAAACTCTTATTAATAAAATTATCCAGGAGATACAGATGGGGGGATGGGTATAACTGCATTCAAACATTGTTTTCTCAATGCCTGCTGTTGTAACTGTTCCTGTGCTGTTTGTATTCTGCTATTTTAAATAATGCTACTCTTTTTTTTTTTTTTTTTAAAGAGGTTTGATCTGTACTGTTGCTGTAATGGACTTTGGAAAGGTCCTATTGAACAATGGGCAAAAATGGCAGTATTGGGTCTGTCTCTTGATCCACTCATTACATCTCATCATCATTGGACAAATTAAAACAGGGTCTAGGATAGGCCCAGTGCCAAGGCTTGGCTTTTCTTCTCTAAGTAGCATATACAGATAATCCTCGTTTAGTGACCACAATTGGGACTAGCAACTCAGTCGTTAAGCGAAGTGGTCACTAGGTGAAACCACAACTGTGCTTACAATCTTACTTCAGCTTTCCTTTGCTTTACAGACCTGCAACGGTCATAAATGCAAGGACTGGTTGCAAAGTTACTTTTTCATCACTGTCCTAATTGTGAATGGTCGCTAAACAAGTCAGTTGCTAAACAAAGTCTACCTGTATTATTGTGGTACAGGTAGTCCCCAGTTTAAGAATGAGTTCCATTCCCAAGTTCTGTCCTTAAGTTGAATTTGTATGTAAGCCAGAACAGTACTATTGTATAATACTGTATAAGTAGTATTGTGTAATTAATTTGAACCATTGT